GCGTATTACAGCCAAACGGATAAAACCACAGTAATATATCGATACTTGCTAGATTCCCCAAACATTCAGCTTTCATATGCATATATTGTATTCATTCTATCTATTATAGTTTTCGAGTAAATCAATGAAATGTGAAAACACTGCTTTTTCGAACGTTTTTTTAACTTTGAAGAAGTAAATACTATAAATCTATTTTATACATATATTGGTTACAAAGCATTTTTTCAAATTTGAACGTGAATTACAGTCAAACGGCTAAAACCACAGTAATATATCGACACTTGATAAATTCCCCAAACATTCAGCTTTCATATGCTTCTTTTGGATTCATTCTGTTATTCGTGTTCAAAGTTTTAAAAATGCTCGAAAAAGTAGTGTTTTTACATTTCATTGATTTACTCGAAAACTATGATAGAAAGAACGGATCCAAAAAAATCTTGTTAAAAGTTTCGAGGAGCATGAAAACATTTTGTAAACTGAATTATCATTTGTTGTGTTTGTGTGCGCAGAACCGTGAGGTATGAGAATCTATCGCTGGAGCCGCACAGGATGGTCGAGGAGCTTTTCCGCTTCTTCGGGTTGGACTTTCATCAAGACGTGAAGGAGTTCCTGGACACACACACCAAGTCGAACGTGGGCGGAGTGTCGAGCACGTTTCGGGACTCGAAGAACGCCCCGTTCCATTGGCGAACCGACCTCAACGTCAGCGAGATCCAGTACATTGAAGAGAACTGTGATGAAGCGATGAAACTGTGGGGATACGTCCGCACGAAAGGCGAGACGAATCTGCGAGACTTCGACCCCATGACCTCATATGTGATCAATTAACTGAAACCAAGTAATTCCCTTTCCATATTTATACAACATATACATTATATATATATATATAATATTTTTTAATTTATATATATATATATACATACATATATAGAGCGGATCTCAATTTTCATTCATGTTAATATTATTAATTTTTTTTTTTTTTTCATTTGTTGTGAAAGACCGGCTCTTACTCACTCTCTCTCTTTTTCTTTTAATCTATTAGAGAGAAGAAAATCCATGAACTGAAGAAACGAAACTAAGCCCATATTTTCCGGATTCTACAAATATTCGCAGACACTGGTATTCATTTACACTCATCCATTTATTATAGTTTCTGATTTCTTTTAGTTTCGTGGCGGTTCCCAATCACACAGACCTAAACCCCCCCCCC